ATTATAGAATTAAATCGTTAGGTAGAAAAATAAATAAATAAATTATTTAATCAATAAATTAATAAATAAAAAATTTCAATAAATAAATAAATAAGTAAAAAAATAAATAAATAGAAAAATAAATAAAAAATAATAATAAATAAATAGGCAAATTAAATAAATATATAAGTAAGTAATAAAATAAATAAATAGTAAAAAAATAAATAAATAGTAAAAAATAAATAAATAGAAAAATAAATAAAAAATAATAATAAATAAATAGGTAAATTAAATAAATAAATAAATAAATAAGTAAAAAATAAATAAATAGAAAAATAAATAAAAAATAATAATAAATAAATAGGCAAATTAAATAAATATATAAGTGGGTAATAAAATAAATAAATAAGTAAAAAAATAAATAAATAAGTAAAAAATAAATAAATAGAAAAATAAATAAAAAATAATAATAAATAAATAGGTAAATTAAATAAATATATAAGTAAGTAAGAAATAAATCGAAAAATGAATAACGAAAAATATACAACTAAAATAATAAAAAATAATAAAAAATTAGTAAGTAAATAAAATAATTAATAAATTATTCAGTTAAAAAATAAAAAAAAATACCTGTGCGACATTTTAACTTTTCTTCCAGAGCATTGCATATCACAATTCACATCTAGACTTCTTCCTCCAGGCCATGCTTTGAATGTATTGAAAATTCAGCTAAAAATAGTTGCAACGAATTTGCAACAAAACAGGTATTTTTATAATTTCATAGATTGAGATGTGCAAATCTTACCATAAATGAATTAAAAATATATGAAAATATGTATCTGGATTTGTAAGTATATACGGTGAAATATGTTAGGTACACATGTGTCCATAAGTACAAATGTGGCTGCAATATCATTTCAAGTGGTTCAGGTTGTGCCATTTACTTTGCTCGCATTTGCACAGCTGTGATTCATCGATTTTCCAACAATTTGGGAAATATTGTTTATAAATTTCTGGTATCTATTGGAAAATACAATTTTTTTTACGCATTGCTGTGAAATTGTAACTAGTGGAATATTCTAATCGTGAGAAAGAGTTGATCAAGAAATGTGTTTTCTTCTTCTCTGGTTAATTAGGTCACTTTAATCAAGTTGCGTTTGCTTTCAATTACCAATCCATTTTTTTTTTGCTGTTTTAAGTTGCTACTTATTACTCTTTTCTTATTAGAATGTCTTTATTCCTCAGTTTCTTTTTGCCTCACATTATACGTAAGAGATTCTAAGTAATTGCAAGTAATTTTTGAAATTAATTTTGCAATGAAAAGCTCTTTCCATGACTGCAATAAGAGTAAAAATTGGAAGTCAATTAGTTAATTTTCTTTTGCGCTTAGCTGCTGGTTGGAGTCTCATGTAATGAGTAGAGCTTGTGAACAATATGTCTAAATTATCGTCTGCAAATAAATTGCCTGAGAGCTCTACGGTCTGCTATGTGCATGAATTTTAATCTGAATCTGCTGGTTTTAACGCATGTTGTTTTGAAAGTATGGTTTTTTTCAGCAGGTATATCCAACATCATGCATCATCTCATTTAAAAGCAGTTCAAGAAACAGATTCTTTCGACGGGGTTGGCTTAAGCAGAGAGAGGTGTGAAGTTAATGGGTTCAATCGGGAATTAAAAAAGATTTTCGGATGCGAATTGCATTATCAGTTCTACACGTACATTCATACTAAGTCCAGATCACACGATAATTGAAGCTAGCTGGACATTTATACCGCCGTACATACATGGATTGAGTACTTGAATAACAAGCAGTGGACGGAGATTATTCGAACTAAATTATCTTCAGCGTTGAGTCACAAAATAAGCAACGAGATACATAAATAAACAAAATTCTCACATTTTAGTCCTCGACATTCCTCAAATAATTTAGGAGAGATCTGTCACTGTCCATTTGGAGCGTTGGTCGTATGAAAATCGACTTTGTAATAGAAGAAACGGCTTAGACAAAATTGTAGAGAAATTTCCTGGCCGCGTAATCTCTTATCTTGACGATGCCAATCGACTATCGAGAGCGTGCAATACGACACCGTTGTACTTTTTTTGTCGGGCTACGCAAGATTCCGTGCTTGAGCACTTGAAAACCAACATTCGTCCAGTTATGGTCGCGAGTACCGCCCAATATGTACCAAAAGGTGGTCGAAAATTACCTAAAAAGGATTGAAGTTTGCTAAAATCCGCGAGGAGTCCTTCGAATTTTTCCTTGAATGCTTTCACCGATTCAGTTTATTCTCACAAATCGTCGCAAAATGTCTTTTTTCTCTTCAGTTTTGAAAACAGCGAACATTTTGAGCCCTTCAGTTAAAATGATGTCAGGGAAAAGAGTAAATTTTCTGGTAGACTTTTTTTTTTTGAAATATTGACTTTGCTTTTCTCATAGCTTAAAAACGGTACTTCGTAGATTGATTTGCATAAAAACGCCCTTTAGGCGATTTGGGCTCGATATATTCGAAACGAGTGTACGGAGTAAATAGATTTAAAATATACTTTCTGACGTGTTCAGAAGGCGGTTCAATTGGTATGATTTCTACTATGCTTATCTATATAGATTGTAGAAAGAATATTTTGATTTTAGATTATCTCTTCTTTGATGACGAACCCAGCACTATCCAACGTCCGGTTAACCAACTGAGTGGCCCACCTGAAGGAAAAATATAAAATTCAATAGATCGGTGACCAATAAGCAGGTATAGGTTGGTCTGTTCTGAACCTGTGTTCCCTCGCAAAAAGTCACGGTACTAATATACTGCTACGGATTTGGTAATTAGATGATATAAACTAAATTGAGATTAAGAATTATAAGGAATAAAGATACCATTTATTAGTTGAAAACTCTCAGTGAATATTTTTTGGTATAGAAAACCGAGTCGGAAGAAGCAATGGTTGCCGAATGAATATTAAAATCGTTACACAAACTTCAAAAGGGTCGTGTATTGCAAAGTTTAAGTTAAGCTCGCAAAATAAGAATGAATGAACTTATCAGCTTAGCTAATGAGACACAAACGACTTTAATAAAGAAGGACAATCATATTTGTACCCCAATGCAAACCCCATGACCCGAATTTCGTTTGTACATATTCCAATTTATCACTATAGAATTGATAGTGTTTATTCCTTACAACGGACGGAAGTTAAGAGACATTTGGTAAAGCATAGACCAGTGACTCCTCAACCCGCCTTCTCAATAAAATGCAAGACTTCTCTTGATAATAAATTTGCTGATAAATTTATATGATTTCTGAAGTCTAAATTTTGAAACCTAAGACAATAGAGTCAGTAGCTTTTTTAGCATTTGATTAAGCATCATATAGACACAGGATTGGACAGATTTTCTAGAAAACGTTAAAAGTTCTCCATCTTCTATAGAACGAACTGATTTATAGAGCTTAATATCGTCTGTATAACATAGAAGTTTTAGAATGAAGAACCACTGATGAATATAAGAAATATCAATTGTCTTCTATTGGTACTCGAATACCTGAGGGCCAGTCGACCGTTCGTTATTTCTTTTTTTTGTCATTCACATTTAAATGGGATTGTTTATGGTGTAAATCTTAATGCAATTTGTCTTCTTATTCTACCCAACACTCTTTTGCCCAATTCTTATGATGAAGAGTGGCTCTGGATTTTATGGTTAAAAGAGCGCTAAGGAAGAGAGGCACTTAGAATATCTAGACATATCTGTCGTAGACACTGGTTCCGCGATTACAGCTGAGTTAACAACAGCGCGCCATTCATTACTTCTTTTCGCTGTTTGGCGCCAATTGGAAATACCAAGAATGATCTCTTTATATCTTCTCTACCTGGTCTTTCCATCGTAATGGAGGTCTTCCTCATAAAAAAACTCTCCTTGCTGGAGTATTCGCATTCATCCGCATCCATTCGGACCATATGACCCAGCCAGTGTAGCCGCGTTCTTTTGATATGTCTATGTCGGCTCATCATTCCAAAGGTGCGGTATTCGCCATTCCCAACTCTCTGGAAAACTCCTAAATCCGACTCATCAGATGTTGTCACCGTCCATGCCTCCGTACCATATAGCAGGACGAGAACAATAAGCGACTTGTAGAGTTTTGTTTGTTTGTTCATCGGGAGAGGATTTCACTTTTCAATTGCCTACTTAGTCCAAAGTAGCACGTGTTGGCTAGAGTGATTATGCGTTGGAATTTAAGGCTAACATTGGTCTAGTGTCTCCTAGATAGACGACATTATCTTCGACTTCACAGTTATGACTGTCAACAGTGGCGTGGGAGCCGAGTCGTGAATGCGATGACTGTTTGTTTTGACGACAGGAGATATTTCGTCTTACCCTCGTTCACTACTAGACCCCTATCCTTTACTTGGCGGTTGTTGAGGCCAATAATGTTAATATCATCGGCGTACGCCAGATACGCCTTATAGAATATTGCACCTTCTCCATTCAGCTCTGCAGCTCGTATTATGTTCTCCACCTCATCTGAAACCTCGTTTGGTATCGAACGGCTCGGAGAGGTCTGTTCGGATCATGACGGATCTCTAGTGTTGATAATGTGTTCTTGATTAATCATCATATCCAATTTAAGAATCTGTGAACATAGCTCAATGAAATCTGTTTAAAAAAAATGTCATTAGCAAATGCCTTATTTAGGAGATTACGTAAGGGCGCAGTAAAGATGCTCCATAGGCCACAAACAGTTATTCCCGAATAAACTGGATGTTTCGATATTCAGTCGGCGGCTCTTACAAATATGTGAGTTTGACATACGTGGGCGGATTTGGGAACAAAGCTCTGAACCAAAGCTGCAGTAAGTTATAGTTTCAAGGGACCATAGAAAGTTGCATTCTCGTGGTCACAAGAGAGCAGGAACCTATTTTACTGAACGCAGATACAAATATTTTATTGAAATACATTCAATATATATGTATGTAATTGTATTCCACCCAAAACTGATTCCAATTATTTTTTGTTACTTTATTTTCCACAGATAACCTCCTTGCTGCGGCCGCGTGGTCATTTAAAACCGATTGAGAATAAACACGCGGATCACTTGGAAGCATCAGTTGAAGAGATCACAGAGGCGGCTAATCGCAGTGCCCCACCAGCGGAAACTACACAACAAATTGAGGCATTAATACCACCGACAAAGAACGTTGAGCTTATACCCACATTAGATTTCGTGATACACGAGCCGACAGCCACAGAGCTTGACGTGCAACATGTTGCCGATATATTGTCGCAGCTTGAAATTGATACGTTCAATGTTAATCACACAACTAATTATGGAAACAACAGCGATGATGACAACAGCGACAATCACTCCGGACACACATATGTAATTGAACGTAGTTGTAGTGCAGAGATCTATAACAACAGCAACAGCAACAGCAACAGCAGCAGCAGCACAAATACCGAGGAATTACTGCGACAGGAGATAATACTTTGTAGCCTCACAGACACCACAACCGATTTTTCACTTGTCTATGAGCCAACTAGTTCCATATCCATTGAAATGGACAATTTAGGTAAGAGTGCAACAACAGTGACAACGACGACACCGTCAGCCGCAACGACGTCCGATGAAGTGCCTGAGACGACAGCCTCATCGTCTCGTAAGAACAGTAATCCAAGTGCCATCACCACAGCCACAACAACGAGCAGTGGTGAGCAGAGTATAGAAGAGGAAATTGAGGAGGCCATTGAGATTAGTGAAGAGGATGATGCAGAAGAACTGTCGGCGGCAGGTCGTTCGTTAGAGCTATCTGAAGCAGCAGGCTATATAAAGTCAATTTCTATAAAGGAGCCTGAAATACAAGCATTTCGACAAAACGAAGGGCCGGAAGCGCATGTGGAGCAGTCAGCAGTGAGTGTGTCCAAACGAAGAGAAAATAAAATAAACACAAGTGAAGAAGAAGACGAACAATTCAAGATTGATGACGATCAATTGTCTGGTGGTAACATAGCACAGCACTTTGTGTTGGATGACGAGGAGGAAGAAGAAGTCGCCTCTGATAATAGCGCTCCAGCAGCCAATGTGCAAGTACACTCACGCCATACATCATCCAGTGAAGCAAGTGTGCAATTCAGCAAAGCAGCGACGGATTCAGCTGAGGTAGATTTTGATGATCTGGACGTGAGTCTACCATTGGGTAAAGCACAACATTCTCGACATGAAGAGCTGGTATTAAGCAATTCGGTAGCGGAACCACGGGAGGCGAGTCTAAGTAATGAGAGTACAGCCAATGATGTGTCAGACATAGTAGAGGAACCGCGACAGGGAGAAGACTCGTTGAAAAGTGCAGAACTTTCAGTGGCTGCACCTGACGCAACACAAAAATCCTGCGACCAAGAACCAAATACAACAAATGTGTCGCTAAGCAAGTCCCTAGTGAGCAAAGATTCAAGAGGGAGTGCGGCTTCACAGCATGTGCAGATAGAGAGCCAACGTTCAAAGACTGGCAGTCAAGTACCAAGCAAATCGCCCGAATATGGCGAAAAAGATAACTCAATTGAAGAGATTTTAGCAAGTAATCACAGTTTTGAATATACATTAGACGACCATGATGTGAGCTCTCTCAATCCCAGCTATATTCTACACAATGAGTCGCTGGTGAATGAGCTGCTGGCGGACACAATGGAAGAACAGCCGATGGATGTGCAAAAGTTCAGCGATTTGCGCACCAATTCTTCGAAACCGGTAGAAAGAAATACTGACCCTGGACGTATAGTAACCGATTTGGATGCAGGCGCTTCAGAAACAGAAGTGAAAAGTGCTGGAACTCAAGTTCAAGAAACGCAACCGATAAACATAAACGAACAAGCGGCCAAAAATGCCAACCTAGAAGAGACTGAAATACAAAATGTGCCATTACGTGAGACACACATCGTCGAAACGAAACTAGCAATTATCTCGGAAACAATGCAACTGCAAGGTATGGCCGACATTGAGGTGGAGACTTTGGAGACCGTTGTGGAGCATGCAGATCCCGAAGAAAATTCAATGCCTGACTTAGATGAAGCCACCAATGAGCTACGCAGCGTACTCAGCAACTTACTGGGCGCTAAAAATCAAGTGACGAGTGTTTCACCGGAGCTTGAGCCGCCTATGAAAGAAGACGACGATGATGATACATCGCTAAAGCTAATGAAAATGCGTATTCTCGCCATGAAGACTCAAGCCAAGGAGCAGCAACTTAATTTATCACCCAATGAAGTGATCGCTGTGAGCGCCAATGTGAGTGGGGATGTGCAGTTGATAAAACAAATGGAACGTGTGCCATTGAGTGAATACACCAAGGACGTGCTGGAGGATATTACTGAAGAGAGCGAGCGCAACTCACTTTCAACCGCTGAGGAACACCGTTCATTGTCGATGGAACGTTCAACGGCATCCACAGATGGCAAAGAGGAGAGCAAGACGTTGCATGCTGAATTCGAAGCGCCAACAGCGGCAGACTTGACGGCCACTTCCACCAGCTTAGTTAGTTTAAATATGCTGCAAATGCTGGAAAACAAAGTATCGGAGTTGCAGGATATGGTGGCGGGCAAGGATGCCTGCTTGACTGCGCTGAATTTGCAGTTAGAGACGGCACAGCGCCGCGAATCGAGCGGCGCATATTCCGTCGAGCAACTGGGTTCTGGCCGTGATACGAACAGCTCACTGGTGACCAACTCGACGGAGTATCGCACGCTACAGGAAGAATTTGGTGGACCGGTAAGTACAAAAAATATTACTTTAAACCGCAGACCCATAATCAATAGTATATTTGCAGACTATGGATATTTACATGGAATTATCGCGGCGCGATGAGTTGATTTCAAAATTAACGGATTCTCTACAGCAATCCATGAATGTACGCGAGCAATTGCAAACGGACAGCGATAAGCTCGTTAATGAAGTACAGATGTTGCGCAAACAACTGAGCGATGCGCTGGACACGCTACGTCGACCTAACTGGCCACGTGCCGATTTGGACAGCAATTGCGGTCAACGCATATCGGAGATTTCTATGGATTTGATAAGTGAGAGCGATGACGACTTGGATCGTCACTTCTACACAGATAACGAGGATAAATATTCACGTCATTCGCGCGAACGACAACTTTCGGTGCCGCGTCAAACGGCCGATATGTATGGCGGTGCTGCTGGCGATATGGAGGCGCCCGAGTGCATACCACCGCCATTCAGTAAGCAAATCGAACAATTTCAGAAATATCTCAATCCGAATGAGGTACGTTTATTTTTCATGGTACAAAAGAAATTCGATGATTATTTGAGCCAAGAGATTGAAAAATGCAAAATTAAGTGTGAACATGAACAAAAGGAATTTATTGAAAAACTGGAAGCTGAGAAACAACAACAAGACACTGAAATAAAGAAATTAATGAGAGCGCGCGAGGAGCAGGATGTGAAACATGCAAAAGAAGTGGAAGAGTTGCGCAAATATTTCGAGACCAAATGTGCCGAATTGGAGAAACAGTGAGTTTTTTTACTTACAATACGTATTTATATATATACAAAAATTTTTTCTTCTACATTTCACAGATTTTCTGATGATGTCAGATTTTCTGATGATGTGTTTTCACAAAAGTCGCAACATCGCACTGAAGATACATCGTCCTCCGAGAGCTCAGACAATGAGCAATTGCCTGAAGATGCTGCACCAGTGTCAACTGCAACACGTTCCAAGGACAGCTCACCGCGTAAACGTACACGCGCGGAGCTGTTGCTTAGCCCAAGTCATCGCCAAATCACGCCAATCACTGATGCCTTCAATGAAGATGTGAATGTAAATAAATTTAAAGATTTTTGTACTTGCTAATACTCATTTTCAAATTTGTTTATATATGTATTTACTGCAGAGCTCCGTGGAAATTGCAGAGTTGAAGACATTCTATCAGCAAAAGTTACGCGCTCATGATGAGCAATTGCGAAACGTCATGGAGAAATTGAAGTACTATGAGAGTCGTTATCCAGAGGATGATTTTATGGTAAGTTTTCCATACATAAATATAAAAAATATATGTCTTTTACGAGATCGCCATTTAAATATAAAGTATTAAATATTGTAATATTTCACATATTCGGGCTCCGTTCAGTGTTAAGTTGAAGTTGAAAACTATAAATTCTTGAAACACTAATGAATTTGAAGGTTTACCGCCAAATTAGGAGGCCGCACCAAAATAACAGTAAACACATTTTTCTAAAATAAAATTCCCAAAATAAATATTATACTTAGGCCCTCAGGGCCCTGCTTATGCTTATTGTCTTTTCGAACTTTCGCTAAAAAGTTCAATTACGGTAAAAATTAAAAAAAATTAATAATATGCTGATATTTCACTACAAGCAACAGGAAAGGTAAAAAAGATGCTCTTGAGATCTGCGGAAAATGAGACTATTGTACAAAATAGGACAAACCGAATGGTACCAACTTTGATTTATTGTCACTTGAGACTTTTTGTTATTAAAGTTAGGTTTGCTTGACGTGATTGCCGGACATCGGCTTCCTGGTGCTGAAATCGAGTCTGATATCTACTAGTGAAAAGAACACGCTAGCATCATTTGCATACTTTTCTATCCGCCTGAGTCCGCCTTTTCTGATATCACATAAAGTTTGTAAGAATAATAGTCTGCATACGCGATGACTCTGTTTCCCCTTCCTCCTCCATATCCCTACGCAATTGGTTTACTTCCAAGACACATAGAAGAGGCGAAAAGACTACACCTTGTGGGGTTCTTCTGCTGACATACCTACGGCTGATACCCCAGCGAGCTCAAAACTTACGTAGCCGCATTCGCGGAATTGAAGTAACTACAGTCGGCGCTTTATTATTGAAGATACCCTCAATATCTAAAAGAGCTACCTAGCTGTGCTCTTAAACTGACATAGATCTCTCGATTTGCGATACTACCATGTGTAACGCTATCACCGTTTGCCTATCTTTCAATAGATGTTGCATTTTTTGGGAGCTTGTCCACTTTATCCACGGGAGACCTAGTATGAACCTCCATCCATAGGATTGTTTTGTAGTGCTTCTCCACATTTCGGAATAAAAACGGTTCTCTGTTCCCTACATATTTAGATAGATTAAAGACTCCTTTATATTCAGTCAGCTGATGTTGCTGTCCAGAGACTGTTGTAGTTGGATATGAAAACTTTCGTGAGGCCATGGACTTGTTTTTGATCTTAAACGTAATATCTGCCTACCCGATTTTGCTCTTTCACTATGGGTGCTGCTTCTCTCGCTATTGGTTTCGGTATACTGAGAGTATTTTTCTGCACCTATTCCCCTTAATTGCTGCGAAATTTGCTCCAAGACCTTCTCCTCCCCTGCAGAGACATACTTGAGAGTATTTTCTTGAACCCACTTCCCTCCGACGCTGCGAAATTCGATCCAACAGTTTTTTTTCGCATCCTGGTTGAAAGTCTTTGAAGATCAGAGTCTCACCTCGGTTTTGTCCGGCTGGGTCCAGAGCTATTCAACTATCGCTAGTGAATCGGCTTAGTTTATGCAAATTTTGATGGTATCAGGGCTACAGGTGAGGTGCTGATCTTAGAACCCATTTTATATAAGTCGAAATGGACATGATGGTGATCGAAAAGAGACTAAAAAAAGAGTTACTCAAATAAAACTTTCTATTTTTCTGGACATTATTTAAAAAAGTCCTTGTAAAATAACTTTTTTTCTCATTTTCATCATTTAATTTTTAAATGCATGTCTGCATAAGTATACATTTTTTAAATTGGATTTAAACTACAACTTATTTGAACTTTCGTATTTTCCATGACATTTCCGTTGTATAAAATATTCAGTACAAGGTTTTGCGGTTAACAAAATGATTTACTTTATGCTTGAAGAATATTGGGAAATATTGACTCAATTGACTGGCCGTCTGGCAGCTTCGTCTTGACTCCGTTGAACTTTTTTCTAGGGAGCCGTCAAGCTTAAGTGCCACCTTAAAAGGGCAAAAAAATGGAAAAGATTTAAAAAATTTGGGTCGACAGAATGGACTTCAAGGCCTTCCGTGGCAGCAATATGAATTAACTGAAATATATGTATTTCAATGAAGGCAATATTTATTGTAAAACCTTCAGCCGTTTTTTTTTTAACAATTTTTGGGAGACATTTTGCCTCAAGAAAACTGTAAATCAGGGTAAAATACGATCTGGATATTGCAGTAGGCCGGAATTTCACTTTTTCAAACTTGACGGCAATATACTCCATTTATGTTAAACCTGAAATTAATGATCTCATATCTGAACACTGCTGGTCGTTCTACCGATTTATCAGTTGTTCAAATTTGAGTTTAAAAAAATTTCACAGATTTGCAGTTCTCCGATAATAAAAATTAAGGTGGATATTTCATGCTTCTTTGGGAAAGCATTGGATGTCCTTATCCTAGCATGTGTGAGTCTTAGCGAAACTATTGGAAAAGTTTTCTCGGCCCTTGGATTGGGATTCAACAAGTTATTTTAGTTCCCGCCCAGAGGATATGTTTGAATGATCTGTATTTTTATATCTTTTACCGAATTAAGTTATAAATGAATATAAAATAATATTTGTATTTAATAAGTAATAGCCTAAACTAAGTAAATACAAAACTCATCAGTGTTGTATCGTTTCTTGTGATTTTCAACTCAATGCTTTGTGTATTTTATTTTATGACAAATCCTTACTAATCTATTTTATATACATATGTACAATATTAAAATGTGTATTAACTGCTAACCGCATGTCTTTTTTGCATCCTTTTTTTGTGCCTTAATCCCATCAATCGAACACAACCATACATACATACACACATATGTACATATCCATGCATAACTACATATCAAACAAAACGCAACTCGAAAAAAAAACCATCATCATATACGTTAATAAATGCAGTCTGCCAAGAAAATAACAACTACAGCGGCTGATATCACCAACCGACATATGTCTCATTCAACTACAACAACAACGAATGCAATGAACATTGTAAAAACGACCAACGAATGTCAGTTGAAACAACAAAACACCAATAATATAAACAATCAGGAATCGGTATCATTGCAAGTACGTGATTCCAATACATCCTTGATTATCATCGATCAGGACGAATTGAATCTACACAATGAATCACAAGTGATACAAAAGATAATTGAAGAATATGAGAAACGTTTGCAGGAACAGGTGACTTTGGCGCGCGAAGATATTGTACGTGAATTGGAGACGCAGATTCAGGTAAGTGCTTTGACATACTCATATTTTGTTTAAATTGAAAAAGGAATGCTTTAATACAAATTTAGCAATCATTATTAGATTTAGATTTGCAACTGAACCTCAAATGCCTGCATTAAATAATATAAATAAATTGGAAAACTAACAAATGACGCGAGTAATAATCTACACAACAGAACACTCTTTTTGAAGATGCGTGAATTTTCAGAAACCCCAACAGTTCCGAGTTATTTGTAATTCCACTTTAAATTCAAGTCAAATGAAAATATCCACCATGCACATATGAAATTTACAACGAAATTCGATTTCGGTGATTTTCAGTGTCAAAACTGATTAGATAGAACTCGCGCCTATAAAATATCAATTTCACGTAGTTAAATGCTTTTTGACGGATTTTTGAACAAAAACATCATAGCTGTTCGAATCGGTTGTATTGGGTGCTTCGACTTCGATGATTTTTAGTGACAATGTTTGTTAGAAGAAATGAATGTATTATACCAAAATTCATACCCTTAAATGCTTTTTTCATGGGTTTTTAAAAACAAAACTTTACATCTGAAAAATCGGTTATATTGCGGCTATGCGCTATAGTCGTCCGATTTCGATGATTTTCAGTACCAATGTGCTTTTCATTATATGTGTTTGGAAATCAAAATCTCACTTTTTTTAGGTATGATTTTTACGGATTTACGACCCAAAACCACATATTTGAGCAAATCGGTTATATGAGAGATATGGTCGGCGGATCTAGCCGGCTTCAACAAATGATAATTCTGATAATAGCAGTATAAATTTTGATGGTTTTATCTCTTCGTGTACTTACATACTTCCGGCCAAAATTGATATAAAGGGTTTTCAAGTTTTGGATACGTTGCTATCACTATAGATATCACCTTTGAACCTGGATTTTTTTCCACATTTGACAAGTAAAAACAGCGCCGGTAATAAAAATGTAGGGATACACGCCTCACCAACGCATTGAAACGTTTAAAATTCATTATCAAAATTTCATCGAAAATTTGTCTTCACTTGACTGAGCGCGATGGCTACGTCAGTAAGCAAAATTGTCGCATCTGGGGCTCGGAAAACCCAAGATTTATCGTTGAAAAGCCTCTCCAACCTAAAATTTGTTGCAGTTTTTGGTCTAATGAGGTCATTGGACACTAGTTTTTCGAAAATGAATGGATTGCGCGAGACATGATTAATGAGGTTTTATGGCCGCAATCGGGTGGTATTGATCTGGACAACGTTTATTTTCAACAAGACAACACTACGCGCCACACAAGCAAGGAAAACATTGAGCTGTTAAGGGAAAAGTTTCTTTGAATGTCAAAATAACAAATCCTATTTGAAAACCTTTTATCATTTCACGTTTATGAAAGGCTTAAAAAGTAGTATAAACAGTGGTTTACTTATAACACGGGTTTGTACAAATTATATGTTTTATATAATTTTTTTTTTGTTTAAAAAAGCCACCAAACCAAACGAACAGGAACAAAATGAATTAAATTTGCAAAAATAGTAAATTAAAAAAAATTCATGATTATTTAATTAATTATTTCTCAATTAATCAGTGTCCATTAAATGTGTATCCCCATAATCGCTTGTCTTTTATTTACGCTTTTATGTTTTCTGAGTCATCATTTTTACAAAAGACATGAAAATACATACAAACATACATACATACATACATCTGTAATGAGCTTGCATGCATCCTGTAAATTTGTTTGTGATTCATTCAATATCTCATGCATCCACTCTTCTTGCGTATATTTTTAATCTTTATCTTCTGTATATATTTATTCATTTTCACCTTTATTTATTTATTTCGTTTTTTTCCTGTCATGCTAACAGAACTTATTCACTTCAGTGCATGCAAAATGTGCGTTGCGTTGCGTTGCGTTTGATTGCATTCATTTGATGTCTTGCCAAAAAATGGGGACGCTACAATCGGTTATATTGGTTTTTGGGCATTAAAAAGAGCGGAATCATCTTTATGACCCCCTCTAAAAGTGGAATAAATGTAAAAGCTTTTTCTCTAGACTGTTAAGATAAAATTCTCTTCGATTCTGTTAAATAATACAATTACAAAACTAATGATAAAATAATATTATTCACAAGTTCTTGAACTCTTTCTATTGTACTATGAAACAATTCCACGAATTTTCCACATTACAATTCAAAATGATCTTAAGTTGTTTGAGAACAAAAGGAAGAAGGAAAAAGTAATTTAATAGTACGTGATAAACATCAAATGAAGTTTGGTTTTTGTTAAATGAGCTTGGAGTCACTCATTGAAGTTCACAGCCATCAATCAAACAGTCTCCGCCAGGCAATTAAATGAAACTTGAAAGAGTTCAAAATGTAAAAAAAAAAACATTTTGATTATATTCGAATGAAACGTATGTACATACTATATTGGTCAGAAAAATTTGCGTTTGCAATAAAATTTTTTTGGAAATTAAAAATTCAAAAAATCACTGAGGAAATCTAACATTATAAGGAGTTGAATGCCAATTTTAATAGCGGAAATGCTGTTCAGTGGCATTTTTTGCCCTTAAAATCTTTCAGCTTAGGTATCAAATATCGCATAACATCACTTACAATCTCTTGTTGTGATGCTGTCACCAATGTTTATTTGTTGTTGTTGTCGATCTTTTCCACCCCACCTCTTGTGTTTACCCAAAGAACTCCGCTTTCATCTGTATTTATTGATGTATTTTTTCACTTTGCTCTGACAACAAATATCTTCAGTGGGTAATTTGATTTGGTTCTATTTTCATTTTATTATTTGTGTTACTTCCTCCTTTCTGTCTTTGATTTTGTCTTTATTTTATTTACTATGGATGTTCAAGTGCGCACGTGATTTTCCTTAATGTTCCTCTGAGAGTTGGAAATGTGTCGTGTGTGATTTCATATTTGGTTTTTTTTTTGGTGCAGATCGTATACATCGTGTACGGGTACTCGGACTGAACATGTTAATTTAGTGATTCGTTGGTTGCTACTTCATTAAAAGTGTTAACTGTGAACATACTTCTTTCTCTATACTGGTACTTCGCTACTCAGTAGAACGATAATTTTACAAAAATAAAATACACCTAAAAACGAGTATTGTCTGACCTAAATGGGATTAGGAAGTCAAAAGGGTAACAGCCCTTGGCCTGATAAATGCCGGGTCGACTACGGTGCAAAGAAGTCCCTAAAGTCCTACAACCTTTCCTCTGACCAACCAAACAGACGCCATAACCGTCTGAAAATTTCTTTCGGATACTCCTTCTCGTGGGATTCGAAGAAGTGGGCGAGCTATTTTAGCCAATTTTTCACACTTTTCCCTAGACGAAGTGACCAGTAACCACCAGCGAGGGGCTCGATTTCGCGAGGGACAATCCTCCGGGGGTTATCGAAAAGGCGAAAGTCCCTAAATCCATAGACCCGACGGAAAAAACATGTTGATACTAAAACCCTTGGGATCAGCGGCAGGAGATTACTTCACCAAGTTTTCTGTCTGTCTTTGACAACCGTTAAAAAATACCCAACATGTAGAAAAAACTACTTATTTTCTGCTATTTAAGCTAAGGTAACCAGCCAAAAAGGGATAATCATATCGGTCGATATTTCTCCTTTCCCAGTAGCAAAGACAATTAAGGCATTGCAGCTACCGTCCTTCACATACCTTCTAAGCCTAGCATCACTACTGCATTTTAATCCCTTAAACACCTAGATAGTCAATGGCTTCACCAAAAACCGTCCACAAACTTTCCTAGTGGCACTGGATCTGTCAAAAGGTTTAGACATTGACAATCATTTAGTGCTACTATCGAACATTGAGGATTCCGAATTACCACCTGCGTTGAAGCGAAAGAGTAGTCGGCAGACATCGGAAGAGTTTCGAAGTTAAACTTCTATACTCTGTAAGATCAAACTACACGCTCCCCCACCAGATGTCACTGATCTCATATGCCGATGATTCCTCGATGTTGGCGTCTGGATAAAATATTGATGTCGAACATAATACATAAACTGCCGACCTTTTCCACTTCTTCGCTGCACATATAGTTGTCTACAAGTTGGTTACAACATGAGTAATCCCTTGCCACACTTTTAACCAGCGAGACGAAGGAGTACCGGATCGAATTTCTCCAAAGTCAATGACAACATACAAGGCAATTGGCCGGCCGGTTATAAGTTACGATATTCCGAATATATTTTTATTTTCTTTTTGAAAATTAGTATATAATTTTTACTTTTTCAAAAAACAATAATGAAAAATACGAAAAATCTTAGAAAATACAAGTATTAAAAATAACTGTAAAACATTTATTTTATTGTTGCAAATAATTTTGCTTTGTAATCTTAAAACCCGTGCCTTTATATCCTTTCATATTTACTACTGCAAATTTTTCTCACTACTACTTCTTAAACTACCAACTACTTTTTCTAATATCTACTATTTTTTACTGCCTGCCACTTTTTGCTGTATTCCAATTTTTCTACTACCTACTACTTTTTTACAATTTTCTACTTTTTTACAACTTACTACTTTTCTACTACTTACTACTTTTTCAACTACTTACCACTTTTTTATGATACAATTTATTTTTTTTCTGCTACCTGCTACTTTTTTACAACTTATTACTTTTTCAATTACTTGCTACTTCTACTGTTACTGCTTACTACCTTTCATAAAGCTTTCTACTTTTTCTACTACCTACTACTTTTTGCAACTTTTTACTTTTTCAACTGCTACTACCGTCCTTACAACATAAAACTTTTTCTACTATCTGCTTCCTGATTGCTACCGTTTCTACTACTTTCTAATTATCATACCTTGCTGCTAACGTGATCAGTACTACTGCTACTTTTTTACAACTTATTACTTTTCAATTACTTGCTACTTCTACTGTTACTGCTTACTACCTTTCATAAAACTTACTACTTTTTCTACTACTTACTACTTTTTGCAACCTTTTACTTTTTCAACTGCTTACTACCGCCCTTACAAC